TAAAAAAGATTGCGACGGTTTGTTGTGGCAAGAAAACAACATCGTTTTGTAAGAAATCAGTGACATCAATCATGGCATGGACCATGGTGTCGTTGTCCCACAGTTCCCAGTGGTCAGAGGCATGAACAATGGCCATGTAATGGCCAGGACCGTGCACAATGCGGGCAGAGATGTGGGATGGAGGATTAAACCACTCACCTGCTCAAGCATTGCGTAGTTCAAGTTGACGGTCCCTCATTGCTACTTGTAGGACAGCAATGGTACAGCCTCCTTTGCTGGTATAATTACAATCCTCTGGTAGTCGTTGGGGAAGATGAGCATCAAGTTGAAGGGCAATTGCAAGGAAGTCTGATGGTGTATAAAACGGACGATGGAGAATGTGAAGACATATATTAATTGCTCTTAGACCACAAAGATTAGTGAGGTTCTCAGGCTGGTTTGTTGGATGCTGGCTAACAATTTGCAGGTCACCCAAATGGTGTTGCAACCCCAAACTGTGTTGGGTTGTTTGCTGGTCAGTCATTTGCACATCACCCATGTGGTCCGCGTGTGGCGGAGCACAAAATTGTGGTTCATCCGAACAATGCTGGTCAGCCATTTGCAGATCCCCCATGTGGTCTACACCTTGTGGGGTCAACTGCAATCCAGGCAGATCATGTTCCAATCCCTCAACTTTTAGGGCTGCATCCTGAGTAGGGACTGTACCTGGAGTCGGGAGTGTACTATGGGCAGCGGTTGCATCCTGAGTAGGGACTGGTGGCTACCTGCAGGCAGCAAGACTGTCTGTAGGAGGAGGAGCGAATATTGTCGTTTGAAACAAAGGAACCACAACAACCTGTGGAGGAGGCACAAATAGAATCGCGCAGACAAAGAAACAAGTTGCTGATCCCCAGACAAGTGACGATGTCGCGGATGTCGTCACTGATACACAACCAGAGGAGTAGTGGTGTTGCAAACAAAAGCTGAACTCGTACCTAGCAACGCAGGTGGAACAATGGGAACAATGGAAACTGGAGAGTCTGTTCGCAAGCGAGATCGTGGAGGAGATGGGGGTGGTGAGGAGGAACGCAGTCGTCTACGTAGCAAACATCAGTCATTGCATTCAAACATGAGTTCGAACACATCGAAAGCAGCATACATAGAGCACACCACTCAAGAAGTAGAAAAGGAACCGAGCGCAGGTAATCTAAAAAAATATGAACATGAAGCACAGTGATATCACGCGAAAAGACCCAACACCGTGTTTCTGCCAGTCGCCTGTCCGGCGTCATCAAGGGTCGCATAATACCTAGCACAGGATGAAGATAACAAGACCTACAAGAATACTTATATCTACGATGGACTATAGGAAGGTTACTACTAGGTTCCCGAAGGTTCGTGAACAGGCCCGGTGGGGCCCAAATTGTCGGTAAGTACCAGAATGGTTCAATCGAGAACGGGTACAGACCCCCGCCAGGTCGAAGAACGAAAAAATCTAAGCCCAAAAGTCAGTGGTTCGAATCCTAAAAGAGTGTCTAGAGGATCACTGAATGGTATTCCAGTCAAATTAGCAGTTCTCAGGTTCGAGTCCAGTCTAAATGCCCGTACCTCAGCTGCTACTATTTCCAATTGGTAAAGCACAAAACCCAAGTCCTCCAACAATTATTCATTCGGGCTGAAAAATTCTTCAAGCAGTGGTCAAAATAACAGTCGGGAAAACCTCGTATTTGCAGCTCAATCTTTAGTGTCAACAAGAAACAAGCATCAGCTCCTGGCATAGTTGTTAGCGCTCTTGCCCTATGCATACAAGCAGTGATAACAAACATCCTTTGCTGCTTATCGGCATAAGAAGAAAAATCCTGCAAATTTTGGAATATAACACCTTGGTTGATCACAAAATGTTCGTTCTTGTGGGTTGCCGCACATCTCTCTACAGGGGTCTTTAAAAATCTTAAGGACACAACCCAGAAAGTCCCAGGAGTCATGTGAACTGGTCAGTTCTAACACCAAGTTCTTATCATAACAGTCTTTGAACCTATCTAATCTCTGTTCAGCCAGAATCCTGGAGTATCTAGATCCTTTGTGATATTTGGAGAAAACTGACACATCATCCACAAATCTCATCCCAAAGAGTAGCCGACGCTCTCTCCCCAGATGCCTGAGAAACTCGTTCTCGTTGAATGCACACAACAAACACGCCAAGGCAGGACTTGATGGTTTCCCCAAAGGTATTCCAACCTTCTGTTGTAGGAGAACT